GAGTAACAACTCATACACACACGTATCTTCACCAAATATTTTCACAGCTTTCCCTTTGATTGATGATTTCAAAATTAGTTTATTTCTTTTGGGGTCTAATTGAAAATTTGAGGCACTTGTAGTTTTCTTTGTATCTTCATTTTGGTTTATTACTACTTCTTCGCCTTGTAATCAATTTATTCCTAATCATACTGTATTTGGTTTGCCTCATCTCTGGAGATTACTTAACATTTCTACACAGATTGCTTCAGAACATTTTCAATGATTGATCAGCATCTTTGTTTGGTTTTTTGCTTAGCACATCGATATTTGATGTCTTCTTGTATCACATGTTAACGTTTGTGTGTATATTTATCATTCAGATTTCAGCATACATTTGATGAGATCATGGATCATTCAGCATGAGATGTATACTTGTCAAATTGAGTAAAACATCCATAACAATAGTTTGATGATTATGATAGAGATTATTGGCTGATAAGAGATTTTGTAAAGTTTGGTATTGATGTGAGCTGCAGCAATAGTTTATGTTGCAACTTCCTAATGAGAGACGTGGTAGTTTTCTTATTCAGAATTGGTATTAGAATATATGGAGAATTGCACTTGGAAAAGAAAAGAAGAAAAGACCTATGTGGTGTGATGATTAACATTAAATAGAATCATAATTAAAAAAAAAACTAGTTTTATTATGATTCAACTGGATATAACATAAATAACTTAAAACCAATATAGAATTTAAATACTAGAGACTAGACTATGTTAGCTAGAAACTGGAAATTATAACTGTAGACAATGTATTGGAAGAAACATGTTGCAAATAAACCTACGAAAAAGTTACAATCCTGATGAGAAGCACATTCGAGGGCTGAACTACCACTACAAGCGGCAAGAAAGAGAAGGAGAAGACCATGTCCAATGTCCATCGTGCAAGAGAGTTGATAGATTGAGATTCCTCCGGCAAGAAGCGACAAGGTCGTAATGAGTACATCCATGGTCGGGTAACTGTAAGGAAAGTAAAACACGAACGACAATATGATAAAAGAGGTCACAAATCTGATAGACTTCAGAAGGGGAGTTGTCGGGCTCGGACGTTCGACGAAGAACAAACACCTGAGTAGCATCACGGCGAAGAAGGTCGTGACGCCGAATCTGATGGGAGCAAACAAAACTTCTTTGCCATATATCAACAAGCAATAGCATGAGATGATCGTCAACGCATACCATATCCCACGAGTGAATACACGAAAACCCATCAGTCTCTCATTCTCCAGTTGTTCCCACAAACTCGTCGTTACACAAAAGTAATTTTCGTTTTCCATGTTTGTTGAGACTTGTGTGTTTGTGTTTACGGTTTTCTTTTTCTTTGACCTCGTGTTTACGATACTCAGATGAGGGATTGTTCTAGCAATATATATTTATAAGCTAAATGCAGATTCTTAACAAGAGTATCTTAGTATTAAAAAAAGAAAAATATTGAAAAGTTAAGATAAATATGAGAGAGAAGTATCTAAAATCTCTCATATAAGAGTTTATTGTAAACTTCTAAGATATTCACTTACATAATTGTCTTGTTTGTTTTGATTGGTATAATTTCTTTTAAATTTTAAAATTTAATTATATATCTTAAATTATAATAAAATAATTGTTAAGATACTTGCATTAAGAGGTCCAAACCTAAGACCAAGCCCAATGATGACATCAAGAGATCCAACAAATGTTCTTATAAATATAAATGGATAAAAATATTATAAAAAGTATCTTACACGTGACTATTTATTATTGGAGGAAAAAATTAACAGAATAAAAAAAAAAAAATCTCCCCGATCATTTTTTCGTCTCTCTTTCTCATTCTCTCTCGCATGCGATACAGATGCGATTCCTCCGCCGATGTTTCGGAAACGCCTTCGTCGTCTCTTCTCAAACTGCTCCAAATGATGGAAAAAGTAGTTGGAGTTCATTCTTAAGATTTGATTGAATGGCTGTGCTCACGGAATTCGCGACCCTGGAGCAGAAGTGAGTTCTGTTTTTTTATTTTCCACCCCTTTTGTGTATCTAATCTTTTGAATTATGACAGAAAAAGTTGAGATGTGATCGTACGTTTGGGTTTTGTCTTAAATCTGGTACCTTCTTTTCTGGAAACTGATGAGTTCTTCCCTACTCTCAGTATTTTGGTTTGGAGGAACAAATTTACCAGCCTTTTTCCAGTATTGTGTTTTGATTCTGTGTTTCTTTTTGTTGGTGTTCTTCCTGAGAATCTGCCTGAATTTCAGCCTCTTCTTAGATTAAGGATTAGTTTTTGATTCTGTTCTATAGTTTTTACTCTAAAGGAATCGAAGAAGTGAAGTTTTTGTTAAAAAAGACCTGCTCCAGGGTGCTTTCTAAGGGGGATTAATTCGTTAAATTCTGGGGAATTCCTTGGATTAGATCTCTTAGGTGGTCGGTAAGTAGAGTTTCTGGATAAGCTATATAATGTGTCCAGTAATTAATTTCTCTACTAGTAGTATTCAGGTTAATGGATTTGACTCATCTTTGGTTTAAGGTATGTTGAATTATGCAAGAAGCATGGAATCCTACCCAACACTTCCATTTTATCTACCTTCGTTGAGGTATGCTTATATTGCTTCTGTTTAGCTTAATCTTAGTGTAATTCTGATTTAAAATTTACAGTTGAGCTGAATTTATCAGGCGAAGGATAGAAAGTCAAGGAATCAAAGATGCATCATGAACCTTTTAGTGGACAGAGTGAAGTACGATGACTTTGTTCAGGATCACAATGGTTCTCATATTAAGGGGCTCTTGATTAACTTCATCCACTCTCATATTAAAGCATGATGATCGACATAAGAACCTGAAAGTTAGTTCCCTGGTGATATTATTGTCTCTTTGCGAATTCAATTTTGTAACTTTAGTTTCCTACTTTTCTGACTCGATATCTTTTATTTTGCAGATGCTTTTTCCATACGAGGAATTCGTTAAATTCTTTCAGTGTGAAGTGTTTGACTTATCACCTAGGGGCCTTGTAAATTGTGGGAACAGGTATTGTCTCAGTTACTTCTTTTTCAATCTGTTTAACTGCAAAATCGAGAGTTGCTTTTATAATAGAAAGATTCATTTTGTATAAATGTCCTATTGTGTATATGCTTTAATCTACTAGCAAACGCTGTCTTTTATATAAGACACATATGATCATATATATAAAAAAAATTATATATATAATTTTTTTTTAAGACACTTAGTGTCTCCATTGTAAACTTTAAAATAACAAAATATTAAAAGGTGTCTTAATACACTAAATATTAATAATTAATCATTAAAACTCTCATCCATAGTATCTCTATTAGGGTTATTCTAAGATACCACGTCAGAACGAGCTGAGTTTAAATCCAAGTCTCTCGGGATTCGTGTGATTCGTTAAGGATCTACATGATAATATCATATCCCTTGATAATCATTAAAAGCCATATTAATTAAGTGTAAAACCAAATAAGCTTGTCATCTTACCAACAATAACGTTATGGGATTTTAGGTTTGTTGCCAACAAGTTTTATCTGGTAAAATATCAAACCAAACAAATTATATCAACGAAATCACTACATCCGGGACAAAGAATCCAAATCTATCTTTAGAATTTTAGAAAGTCTAATGTATGTGGCTGCAAAGGGTTTTCCAAAGTTTCAAATTTATAGATTAATCGTGTGCAATATCGAATAAAATTGATTGGGATTGTTTCATTCTGGCATCCTAACTTATAATATAATTACTAATTTACCTCTGTTACTTTTTTATGTATTTGATTTATTATCTTACATGTAATTAACAAGTTGCAGATGTTTCTCTATAGGTGAATTGGATCAGAATGTTTCTCATCAGAAAAGGTTCCTTCTGGACAGTAAAGGAAAATACAACACTTGGTTCCTAGATGTGGAAAAACCTCCTAAAATACAGAGAGCTTGCGAGTTCTTTTGTCAAAGTGGAGGTTTGTAATGGCTTATCAACCTCTTTCTGGCATGACAGTTGGAGTAGAATGGGTATATTGCAGGATCTAACAGGCCCATGAGACTATATATATATATGGGAATACCCATCAACATAACGGTAGCAACGGTATTGGCTTCACATCGGAAAACATGGCATAGAGTCAGTATTCTGAATGAGATAGAGACTGTTATCGAAGCACAATGGCAGAAAAGGGAGACTCATGGGGATGATGCTGTATTGTGGAAAAGCAAACCTGATAATTCAAAACCACATTCAATTCAAGAGACACATGGAAGCTTCTTCGAGAAATGCACCCAAGCAGAGAATGGTACAAAGGAGTGTGGTTCACACACGCAACACCCAAGTACTCATTTCTGATTTGGCTTGCAACCCTCAATCGATTATCAACAGGCGATAGGATGGCCAAATGGAACACGGGGACTACTTTTTCATGCGTTTTCTGTCAGGCTCCAAACGAGATCCGAAATCACCTTTTCTTTGACTGCAGCTGGTCTGCAGTGGTCTGGAACATGCTCACGAGCACAATGCTTGGCTCGAGCTACTCAACGCAATGAAAGATTATTCTTGAGTTGTTGATCGATGAAACTTGGGATATGATTCCCCTTTTCCTTCTTCGATACGTTTTCCAGGCAACAATCCACTCAATCTGGAGGGAAAGAAATAGGTGAAGGCATAGAGAGACTCCTACTTATTCATCACAGATAGCAAGACTGATTGACAAACAAGTCCGCAACCGACTAAGCACAATACGAAAGTTGGGTGATACTCGATTTGAAAAGGGTTTGGCAACTTGGTTCTTAACACACTGACGATTTAAGTTAATCATTGCCTACTATCTTCAATAACAGAGTAACACAAGTTGTAAGGACGTTTTTTTTGATCTGAATTAATTTTACATTCATTAAAAAAATAATAATAATAAATAAGTTACAGATGATCATATATAAATTATTTACTTTTATTTCTTAAATATTGTGCAAAACACCAAAACATATAAAATATTTTGAAATAGAAACAATATTGAATAACATAAAATTTGTCATTTTCATTAAAATCATTCCCTCGCATTATTATTATGACAACAACATTCACCCACACATGAAGACGATGGCATTTTAACATAAGAAGAGATTAAATCACACTTATGCCGTTGGCATATGTACAAACTCTAGCTTCTTTATAGATTTTTCCTGGTCGACACACATATCCTTTGGCCGGAGCACAATGAGCATCCTCCGAACATATACACAAACCCTCCAATGCACAGCCATCTTTTATTATTGTCGTGTGTCCTTTAATCCCTAGGATCTGATCGGTCCATTCGCTCGAGAATAAACCGGTCGGATCATAACGTTCCTTTACTTTCAAGAATGCATCTGCGTTCTTGTACTTTTTAATCACTCCATCAAATACTAAGTTTCTGTTCTTACCCCAATGTGGCAATGAGTTATACTTGAACAACGCAATTTGTTCGATTTCCTCGATGAAATCTTCGTAAAGCCGCGGTGTTAATGGGTTACTGGCTCGGTAGTAAGTTATGTCAAATGCTATAGCTTCTGCTTCTTTCCCGAGATAAGCCGGAGAGGATGTGACATAACGCATTTGAATACCGCCGAAGAGCTCAAGTCCACATAGAGATCTTGGTTCGATCTTGACAAGAGATTTAATGTCGTTGATGAAACTTTTGACTTGTGTGAGGGGAACACTCACAGCTGTTTGGTATGCGATTATGGGGTTTAAACGTGAGTCCCACGGACACGCCGTGATTAACCCATCTTCAGGACTGTCTAGACACGATCCTGACGACATCAAACGATTTTGGCTTCCAGTAACAGGATAACCGGTAAATTTAACGCCTAAAGCATAAATAGAAAATTGAGTTAATACTTAATAATATTCCATGTGAAAATCAATGACAATTTACAAGTACAAATTATCAAAAAAAAATAATTAAAAATTACCGTCGTTGGTCAAACCGTATGAGGTACCAAGCTCTGAAGTTGACATTAGTTTGGCTGTCGCACACTTCCCATCCGCATCTCTCAACGCCTCTTGCGTCTCCTCTTCATTAAACAAAAATATAAATAAAAATTTATATATAGCATTTTAATAATAGAGAGAATTATTGAATGGGTGATTTTATAACATTTTATAATAGAAAGGATAGTAGCTAGGAGGAACCTGTGGATTTTCTGATGGCTCCTTCCTTAGAGAGATGTGAACGTAATGAAAATAAATCAAACAAACCATTACCGGACGTGTTGACCGCGACTCGATCGTCCTTGCGATACACCACTTTGCCTTGGCTCGGTAACCAAGTGATATCCGCAAACTCATGTTTCTTCCCAAAAGTCTCAGCTTCATCTCCCAAATCCGAATCATTTCCCATAACATACGTTATCGATCTTTTAAACATCGGTTGCAATTTGAAAGTCACCTTTTCCAAACATTATAATAATAAAAGAATGTATTTAGACTTATAGTATCCCTTTTCTTATGATATATATTATTTTTTGTTAGTCTAACCTGAGAGATAACGCCAAGAACGCCAATAGAAACTTTGGCTGCGTTGAACTCGTTAGGAGTCCTAGTCTCGCTCAAAACTCTAACCTTCACAAACCCATCGTTGACCGAACCAGGACTAACCATCCTTATGTCGCTCACATAATCATGAAGCGCACTTCCTTCACCCCACAAAGTGCTCCCATGAGCACCGGTTCCCATCATACCTCCCACGGTTAGTCCCCACCAATACGGTCCATTAGGCAAAGCCAAACCAACTTTAGCCGCTTCAGCTATTAACTCCCTAAGCAACATACCGCTCTCAACGGTCAAGGTCATGGCCTTTGCATCGACTCGCACCGTGTGGTTAAGGAGTTTTGTGCTTATGAGCAACCCGTCGCTTCCGTCCGTGCACACAAGCTTAGGGTTGCTATGTGAATACCGAGTGGTTACACGCATTTTTCGTCCGGCTTTAGTGGCTGCAGCCACGATAGAGATGAGCTCCGCTTCGGTTGTTGGGTACGCCACGTTGCCGGCTCGACACGTGGACCGGTCTGGGAAGACTCCGGCTGCGTTTATGACCGTACAATCCGTGTTTCCTGACACACATTTGACCGGATCTTCGGGAGGTGTTGAGACAACCGTATGCAAAAGTGTAAATATGCAATGTAACCTGAGAAGGGTGCTCCAAAACGCTGCGCTTTGGCGAGAATAACCAACTGCCATGGGGGTTTTAGTGTGTTTTTGCGAATGGTGGCTTTGGTATAATATAGAGGCAGATTCAGTGAGATTTAAATTCAATATTTTTTGTTTATGAAAGTAGAAAACATCGGTGTTGTAAAACGCGATGATTATTTAATCAACCATATATATGCACGACAAACTCAAACTAGTAATTAATTATCATACAACGTTCATTCCAGTCACGATCTCAACTCTAACTTAAACGCGTTAGTTGGGTTTTATTTTAAAAGAAATCATTAATTAATTGGGTTTTGTCCCAAATTTTTGTCATATAGAGACCATAAATAAAGTAGTTTTATTTGAAAGATGGAGGAAAATGATACTACTTGTTAAATTAAAGTCTTTTTGTTATGTTTAATCGTTTTTATATTGAAAACAACAATTAACGTTAAACAGAGTGTTTGTTTGAAGAGTTAATTTTGACAAAACATGGGGCATAGAAGACAACATCGTAAACAGGTTAATTCAACAGATAGATGCAAATGAGGTTTATATAGAGGCAAACTAATGATATTTGTTAAAGAAAAATATTGGAAACGTCACTTGATGATATATATAATTCTCCCTGATAATCTCGTGGCAAACCATACAGTAATTTTTGAAAATATTTTTAGACAGTTGTATAAATACTATGTATATATATATATATATATATATTTATACATTCAATTATTGACTAACTACCTCTAATAAAGCCGTTGATGCAAAAACAATTGCTTAAGATAATTGTTTTTGGGATAATAGTTTTAGTGTTATAGTAAGATTGTATGATTTTAAATATGATCACAAAATTATAATTAAAATTAAAAAGGATTTCAATAAAAATAAAACATATATGATCTATTGTTAGAAACACAATCGAAAGAAGCAATTAAACATGGATTGCAACTTTACGGGCATGGTTTAGAGTTTCTTGGATTACTTGCATAATCCAACAGTCATTTGAGAGTTCATTTGCGTCTACAACAAAGACTCCATTTATTAGCGTCAATTTCTCTCTCTTTCGTGCATATTATAGTTTGAATCTGTGTTTCTTAACTTTCTTTATGTCATACCCTGAGATTTTGGGGGCTTGAAACCAGTTACAAAAAGGGAGTCATATATCATAATTTTTTTTAAAAAAAATCTCATATAAATATAAATATGTTCAAATATAAAAATTGCTAAACGAAACACAATATTTCAAAAACAAAAGTAAACTAGAAAGAATCTATGATTTTTAGAAAATAGTTCTTCTTGCATTTTTTCCTGCAAAATCATTCATCAAACTTTGTTAATCAAGCTTTCCAACCATATCTCTCTCAATTGACAGCATTGCCAAGCCATTCAGTCTCTCCACCGCAAATAAGATTTTTATTGACTTTCACTTGGAAAAACTCTTTACGGCTGAGGTTACTGAAACTGGAACAGTTAACATCACTCTATATGCAATTCATGTATTTAGATAAATATATAACAACAACCTTTATACCATTTTAAAAAGTCCAACACTTCAACAGCCTTCTCGATTTCGCTTGGCAAAACATATCTTACAACTTTGATCTCTTCGAATAAATGATATCCATCAATGTCTGAAACCTCACTTTGTTTAAGAGAAGTTTCAAGGTTGATACATGCTGCTTATAAAGCATCATCTGTTGCCGATTTGAGCTTCCATAGATCAAACAAAAAATTAAATATTTTTCATATTCTTCAAATTGTTCAAACTTCACATGGAGAGATAGTATACCTTGATCCACGATTCTGATGAAAAAAAAAACACAATTTTAAACTTATCCTCCTCGCTCACCATTTCATATTCATCATTTCTTTCCACATCTTCATCAAAATGTTTTTTTCCTTCTAATAATGCGCTTTGGCTTCAGGCTTGAGATCCAAAGACGCTGCAATAATCTTAGCTTCTGATTTTGATTTTTCAAACCCAGTATCTCTGTAGTCTTGCAGATACAAAACTAAACCCTTTTAATTGAACAAGAGCATTATCAATATCAATATGCTCTGATCGCATTGCCTTACTTACCGAAGTAACGGTAAATAGAAGATCATACCAAATAACCATACCAAATAAGAACTCAAATCCTTTAATTCTGTGAGTTTTACTCGTAGCAAGAGCTTCGGCATCGCTGCGAGCTCCAGGATCATCACAATTTTCTGTCAAATAATCTAACGCATCTCTTATTTTTGGAGTTTGAAATTGAATGGCTCGAACACTTTTAACGCGACTTTTCCAACGAGTCTCTGATAATGACTTAAGCGTGAGACCTCCTACCATCTCCTTAAATAGCTCCCACTTATTTGTAGATGATGAAAACAAACAATATATCTGTTGAATGATTCCAAAGAATGCAATTTCTTTTGGAGATGATTTTGCCATATCACAGAGTGCCAAATTAATAATGTGGCAACCACAAAGCGTGTAAAATGCTCTTGGATTGATATCAATCAATTTCTCTACACTCCTTTGTATTTTCCTTTCATATTAGACCCATTGTCGTAACCTTGTCCTCTCACCGCATCAATATTCAAAGTGAGAGCAACCAAAGTATTATAGCACAAAAATCTCTTCTCCAAATTTATCTGCAACTTTTAAGAATGTCACAAAAATAAAATTTAACCTGCGTTTTAGCTATGGAGACATCCACACATCTGATAATAAGACTCATTTGTTCTTTATAACTCTTATCTGGAGTGCAATCGAGAATGATATAAAAATACTTTGCCACTTGAATTATTATCATAAGTTTAACCTCAGATCTTAGCATAACAATCAACTCATCCTGAATTATGTGGCTCAAATAATGATAGTGAGTCTCACCTTCTTTAACCCGTCTGATATGCTCTAGTATGACTGGATCGAATTCTACAAATGATTCAACAAAACTCAGAAAGTTTCCATTGTTTCTTTTACCAAGCTTCTCATTAGTTCCACGAAATAAAATATTCTGTTTAGCAAGAGTTATCACCAGTGAAAATATTCTCAATAAAACCTCTCGCCAATGGTTTTTTCTTTGTTGATTTCTTTTTGGAGACACTTATCAATGGTCTGATTCTTTCATAGCCTCAATTCTAATTCCATTCATTGACTCATGCACACAATATGACAATGGCTAGTTTTAAGTTGGCTCAATCTTACCATGACATTCTTCCAATCATTAGACCCCTTGCTGGACAACTGAACAACATCTTGATCCCGACCAAACAACTTGCAGCAAAAGCGATATACTCTGTTTCATACTTTTGAATAAAGTAGCCAATTCCTATCTGGTCTAACTCCATTTTTCATCTCTCTTTTGTAGTATCTATGGGAAAAATATCTCCCACGATCACTTTTTGGAAATAGGTAGTTCTTTTGTACTCTTTCCATACTTTCCACATCTACATACATATTTTTTTTGGTAAAGTGTAAATAAATATTTATATAAGCTATTTTTAATCTATCTATTTTATTAAGCTCTTATAAAACAAGAATCGATCATATGTATTAAACCAAAAAAATTACACCCTGTTGATATCCTTTGTGTTGCATCGACCTTTCTTTATATTTTTTTTTCACTTTAAAAAAAAACAGTTTTATTTATGTTAACTATACTAATACCCGTACATACGTGCAAGGGCGGACGCACACTAAGAGTTTGGTGGCACGTGCCCCATACTCATTTTTGATTTTTTTTTATATACAATAGTTAAACTATTAAACATAACTAAAGTTATTTACCCATTCATGTTTAAAATTAAAACCCATTTGAAATTAGAAATAAATGAAAATTAGTGATATTATTTTGATTTATTACTTCTTGACTTAGCAGCCATTTTAATTACTGCTTTAGAGCAAGCCCAATAAAGACACCATTAGTATAAGTTTTATTAATTAATTATTAATATTTTGTATACTTTATGTATATAAGATCCTTTATATAGTATTTTGTTGTTTTTGAAGCATACAACAAAGACACTTTTGATGGGTGTTTTAAAAAAAAAAAATTCAAATAAAAGCTTTTGTTAACAACTTTTAAAACATAATACATTTTCAAAAATATAATACATGAAAACATATTAATTATAGAAGTGCAATTCAGAAACTGGAATTTTCCATCGTCTACTCATAGCTTCCCATGTGTGCATTCTTAATTTAGACATTGTATCTTAATTTAGACACTCATCTAAAATATAAGATATCATTCACCATTTTTTATTCAGTTTTATTATTAAGAACATTTCATTAGACACCTAAAGATCACCATTAGGATTGGTCTTATGTTTCGAGAGATATTTCTCAGCAATAAAGATTGTGAACACTACCTTACTTAATTAAATAAGTGATCAATTTTTATATGATTATCAAATTTATCTTATTGAAAAATAACTATTTGATAATGTGACAAGTTAAGTAATGATAAAAATGTTTCAGAATACGAAAAATCGCAGGATAATTTTATAGGAGTTTTTTAGTTTTTAATTTTGTTTGGTTATATTTTTTTCTGTTATTTATACTTTATTTTTAATAATTTATTTATTAATTAAAATATCAAATATGTGCCCATGCTAAATAAATTTCTGCGTCCGCCCCTGCATATGTGCCGATTTCTTATATAATCAAAACATAATTTTTATATTTGCTGTAACAAAAAATTCACTGTTAATTAACCATTTATTTCCAGAAAACAAAGAAGTTAGGCAAATGAATTACCTACTTCTTGCGAACAAGTTTTGTGAATTATTGAAGGGTTGTTTCTGTTTAGTTGTAGACAAAGTTACATGATAAAGAAAAAGTTACATTTAAATTTTTTCCTTTATCTGCATTTTGTAATGAAATTGGAATCGGTAATCTAATAATCTTGCTCAAGTACTTTATTCATAAAAAAACAAAAATTATAATCAAATTTAATAAAAAAAGAGAAGTAAAAAGCAGTTGGGTTTAAAACTTTTGAATGTCTTTTTTTTTGTTTTGAAAATAATATAAAATCATCTATTTCAGTTCTATATTTATTCGAATAAAATGCTTAACTAATTCCGGAAGTTTGTGAATAAGTGGATTATACAGGATAATGAGCGTAAATTGTAGA